TCTCTCTCTTGTTGCATATTTGCATTTGCGCGGCGGTGTTGAAACGTTTGCGTCCTCCTCCATGTGAATGTGTGCGCGTTAGAGTCTACAGGTTTCCATGTCGACAAACCCGAAGTTCGGCCGAGAGGCGCTGCGGGTGCGTTTCTCTGATGCGGCAACGAGCATCAGCGAGTTGTACCGTACTGCAGTGCTTTCGTACGATGCCGGCTACCGCGACGCCCTGCTGTACGTTCACCACTACATTCTTCTCAACACCCCGCGGGCGGTGGCCGGCGACGCCGTCTTGCCCCATAGCGCCCAATCGCCCGTAGGAACAACGAGTTCCTCCGCGTCACCGCCCTTGCTAGACGCGGATCGGCTGCTGCGCTTCATCCAGAACTCACTTAAGCGCCACGAGCTGGTTTCCGTCGCCTCGCGCGGCACGCTGCGCCGGCGGAAGCGTTCCTTGAGCTGCGTGGACCGGTCGGCGTGCGGCTTGCACCCGGAGGGAGAGGGCGGTGCTACGCTGGAGGACACCCATGCCGTGCAGCGTTGTCGCATTGCCTCCCCTGAGCGTGGAGTGGAGGAGCCAAGCGTGGAGGTTCGCGACATGCTGCGCGACGTCCGCATTTCCCGTCCCGTGGAGTTTGACTCGGGAACCGACGACGACGACTTTCCCGCAGAAGCGTAGGAGAGTGCTGTGGGGCACACGAACGAGAAAAATGAGAAGATAAGGAAAAAATATATATCGGAGGTCTGGCGGAGGTAATTCCCATGTGAGGAAGGCTTGCCTGCACTACACTCTTCGCACAGCATGTGGGGGAGGTTGACTTCACATTATATCACTTCGCCATGTGCTGAAGAAAGATGATGTCGTTGCGCATACGACGGGCAGCAGTGTGATGTGGCGTCACCGCAGCAAAGCCCACTCCAGAGACCACAACATCCGTTACTACCGCTTATGCCATCAGCAGAGCAGTCAACAATGCGGTGCATTTGGGCTCGCGTGACGCACCACGTTGAGATTGACTTGTGACGGTGCCCTCTACGGTCTTGAACCGGCGTCACTGCAGCATCCTCAACGAGATACTTTAGTTTCTCTGGCAGCGGCGCTCGGCCTGCACGTGTCCCCTTCTCCGCCACAGCGGGGACGTCACACGGAGCAGCACAGAGCCATGATAGGAGACAGGAGAGTCGAGAAGTAGCGGTATATGGAAATGTGTAAAAACGCTGCGATAAGGAGGGCCCAGAGTTGGATGGACCTGCAAAAATTTCAAAGGTGCACTATTGCGCTGAAATTCGCTGGGTTTTGTATTCAACGGTTCATTTTGTGGTTGCGGGGACCGCCTACAACGGCATGTGCAAAGGAATCAGTGCTGCTGCTGCTGCTGAGGGTAACAGAACGAAGGTGGCAGCTTCGCGACCCCTACCTCTTGGCGCTGCGGATGCGGCGTTTGTTTGTGCTATGCAAGTGGTAGCTCCTCTTGGCGGCAGCAATTACGTCGCTGCCGAAGCACCGCAGCATTGCTAAGTACCGACGTCATCGCGTTCCTGGGAGGTGTGCTTCTCACCTGGGCGTCTGCAGGCCCCAATGAATTGAATGCCGGAACGTAGTGTTATCATTCGGAGAGGCACACGGAAGGTAAAAAGGGGGAGAAATGTTGTGTGTTAGGTTTCGGGCCTCTCCACTGCACCGCACGTGCAGATTATTTTTTTTTTTGTTTTTGTTTTTGTTATTGTAATCTTTTCCATTCTTCGGCGTCTACGACTGTGTGTGTGTGTGTGTCTTGCTTGGCGGATCCATGTGAGGGAGCGGCGGGTTCGGCCGGCACCTCGCTCTTTGCAGTGCTCTCCCTCCGTTTCTTTTCTGTTGTCGCCGCCCCTAAGAGGAGGAGGAGGCAGTGGTATGTGTACGTGCGTTGACTGGAAGAATGGTTGCAACATCTCTTCAGAAGGAACTTTTTGATTATGAGGGGCGTGTGCGCGTCGAGAAGCACGCGAGGGAAGTGGTGGAGCGAAACGCGCAGTACATCTCTGAGCACCCGGAGATCACACCGGTGTTGCACGACATTCTGCAGCACCTTCTCATCCACAAGCCGGAGGAACCGCTAGCCGCGATACAAGACTACGCCCGGGCCCGCTTGCCACCGGCACGAAGACAGCCAATGTGAGCTGCGTACTCTGCCCACTGCTCGGCCAGACATAACAACAACAAGAAGGAAGAACTCCGCGTGGTGTGAGTGTTGCGTGTGTACATATGTTTTTTTTTGTGTATTTTTTGCTGTCTGCGGTGGGCAGTCCAATGCAGCGCGTGGTGACAGCGTTTGAGCAACCCCACTGCTATTTGGGAACGCCGCTTCCGGCTCACTCAACGCCCCACAAGTGCACCGCGCATTTCTCTTTCAAACAATTGCGTCAAGTTTAGTGGAAAACGAAGGATGTTTGGTGCCCCTGCTGGTGCATTTGGGACTGCCACCAGCACGGCGACTGGCGGTTTTGGGACTGCCGCCAGCACGGCGACTGGCGGTTTTGGGACTGCCGCCAACACGGCGACTGGCGGTTTTGGGACTGCCGCCAACACGGCGACTGGCGGTTTTGGGACTGCCGCCAACACGGCGACTGGCGGTTTTGGGACTGCCGCCAGCACGGCGACTGGCGG